AGAGGTATAAGAGGTCATTCAAAGCGCGCGGTGTCACAGAAGGTGCCTCGGAAGTCTAATGAATCGGTCAAAGAGTGTGTCAAATGGCTCATCGTGCGAATAGAGTGCGCGAAGACGTGGAAGTTGATGTGGAGGATGAATCGGAAGGCACGTTGTCGTCCGATACGGGTGTCGCTAGTGATCAGAGCGAAGATCTAACGTTGCACAGGGAGAGATACGTGTCGCAGGCGGAACTCCGTGCGTTGACCGGGCGTACCAAGCATTGCATGATCCTGTGCTACTATTCGACCGGAGGTGCTCTGGCCCTATGCGCCTCCTGTATGATTCAGCTGAGAGACACTGAGCTTTACGGAATGAATCTAGTGTTGAAGCACGAGATCGATTACGAACAAGTGCTAAGTGGTCGATTCTGCTCCAACTGCCGTGTGAGGATGTTTGTGATAATTCCTTGCAGCGTGTGTCCAATGTGCACGAATCAGAGCACGTAAAAAAAACATTAGCGACATGAAGAGGGTAAGGGCTATAAGCTGGGAGGAGTTCGATGTCCTGTGCGTTCTCCGTGATTCGCATGGAGAGACCGATGTGCGACACGTATCGCCGGTGCAGTTTTTACGCGATCGGGAACTAGGAATACGCGGAACTGGTGAACGCTTCGCGAGACAGGGAGTCACAGTCGACCGAGAGCCCGTGCGTGAGTGGCCCCATCACGCGAAACGAAAAGTGTACGCGTGGTATCGCGAGAAAGCGTACGAGGACTACGAAAGGTGTCACGAGGTGTACAATATTTGGAACGAAAAAATCCGGAACGAAAAAATCCGGAACGACGATCTGTACATAGATTTCAGTCGTGTGGAGAACAGGTACTACTGGGCGAAGCGAATCGTCGAGAAGCTCAAGTATAACCATAATCTGTGCATTACGATTTCCGTGGGTAGCGAGAGGTACGTCGAGTTGCTGGTGATAGACCCATACATCTACGGCGAGTGGAAGTACCCCGCCGCTGTAAAACGGCAGATCGACGAGCACAGGCTGCAGTGGGAGCGTGAATTTGATGAACGTGGTGAGCTGGACGATACTTTTTGCAATGTGTGCACCGTTCTTCGAAAAGAGTGCATGTATCAGGAAGGCGAAGAGTTAGAGGACTACCGCGTTCTAAATATGGACCAAACGTGTCGACAGTGTCGCGAAAACACGTGCAAGTGTTTCGTGGAAGAGTACGACGTGATATAGACAAAATCATGGAACTCGAGCGAGTGGAAAACGAACTGCTGGAGCAGAGTCGCCAGATCACCACTCTGGCAGAGTGTTTCGCGTGGTTGCGACGATGCGACGAGTGCATTCAGCAGCTCGAAGAACTCTGTCGCGCCAAGCGTCCTCGGCTCGCCGCCGGAAGTAGACAGTCCGCGGTGGCGAGGATCGCGCGACTCGCTGGTGAAAGGGTGCGAGTGGAGAGACGATTCGTGCACGTGGGCGCCGAACACAGTGCGGGGCTCGTGTGGCAAGAGATCGATACCGCGTTCCACAATCGCGTTCTGACCGGTGCGGTAATTGTAGGGATTTAGTTATCGATACATTACTGGTACCGATCCAGCCATCTATTAGAGTCACCAGCAATTACGTTTTCAATACGGGCGATGGCCGTGGTGAGTTTCTCCCCCCGCCCCCCTGAGGTATCTAACCTCACGGGCCTGCACTGTTCTCGTGAGATAAGTAGTGATAACTTTAAGTATATCTCAAAGATTATGAATAATTCGGTCCGTTAAATAAACACATACATGCGTTGGCCTGTCTGTTAATCCGAATTCATTATGTCTATTAAATAAAGTGTGTATTGTGTCGCATATACTTTAATATTCTTTCCGA